CATGACCAAAATACCACATTTAAAAAAAACGAACGAGATGCCTGCCAGTCGGCCATCTTTTATCCAATTGCGAAAGAAATTGTCATGGAAATGTATCCTAACATTTATAATCTATGTACCAATTTTGAATGAAAACTGACAAAGCATGTCCAAATTTTCAAAAAACAAGAAGGCTGCCAGTCGGCCATTTTGAATCGAATCACTAAACCACTGCATGGGCATATGTCCCACATAAAGTACTAGGCACATGCAAAGAATGAACGAAATTGGTCCAAAAGATTCTGAAATATGACCCCGCAAGGATGCACACACAGACTGACGGGCGGACAGATGCACGCACAGATGGACGCACACACAGACAGTCGGAGGACATGTATCCTAACATGTAAAATCTATGTACCAAATTTGAATGAAAACTGACAAAGCATGTCCAGAATACGTAATTTTCAAAAAACAAAATGGCTGCCATTCGGCCATTTTGAATCAAATCGCTAAACCACTGCATGTGCATATGTCCCACATAAAGTACTACGCACATGCAAAGAATGAATGGAATCAGTCTGACGGATTCTGAAATATGACTCTGGATGGACGCACACACGCACAGACAGACGGACGAACACACGGTCGCACAGACGGAGATCGAATAATAAGTCCCCGTTTTCGGACTTCGTTCGAACGGGGACTAAATATAAATAGTGCATCATGTTTTAGCCTTACCTCAATTATTTCATCATCAATATCAGTGTCTGCATCATATTCATCCGTCAATTCATTCTTTATTACATTATCTGTCAAGCTTTGCAACTGGTTTGTGTTACTGTTACTTACATCATCACGCTTATGTTCTGGACATAACAGTTTTTCAAATTCCCTTAATTTATTCGCTGCATTCTGTATCAGCAAGATACCTCTCTTTAGAACTGTCTCATCAAATACAGTGTTAGGTTGTATTTTTGTAATCAGGTTTTTTGTGATGTTGTGCACTGTTGCTAGGTTGTCCAGCAAGGTATCTTTATCTCCCATCTTGATAGATATTGCATAGATTTATATTGTAGAATTTAGGTGTTCGTCAACAACTGCATCTAATAAGTTTGAAAACATTGAACATATATTATTATCCACTGGTGCAATAACCATCAGAGTGTTAGTATACAATACATATGTACTTTTTGTCGTGTACTACAGTGTATAAACTGTTCAACTTTCACTTCTATATCTTTTTGCGGTTTTAAAATTTGATGGTAATCGTAAAGACCAAATTTTGCACAAATCACTGACACCAGACAAATATTAAACTGCGACGAAATTTTGCTATTTTCACTTCGATAATTTATCTCTTGCAAAATTAATGCAATTTACAGTATTTTAGAATATATACAAAAATCATATTTGTACTCAAAAATTTAATCATATTTACAGATATTTATTTAATAGCTGGAAATTCCCCTGGGGGAATTAAAATTTCATTGGATTGTAGAAATTTTTATTAGTAAATAGTATTTACTGACACAGTATGAAAAGTTACTAATAGATGCATGTCCGGAATACGTCATAACACTCATGAATGAGAGCATTTAGCTGAACAGTGGTTTAAACTAACCAGTTTTAATCACTTAATCTTGAGACGTCCATAGAAAAATAGTTAGCAACTTTGGTGCCAATGTTGCTGTTTTGGTGTTCAGAACAATATCGCTCTGACAGTAAAACATTGTGTGTGACAAATACTACTGTATTGAACTAAAAAGAAAGTACTGTAAAATTTATTGGGCGTTTTCTATGGAATTTATTTTCACTGATATTTGAATAGTTGAATGTAAAATATAGGTAAAAAGGTATGTTTGCTGAATTTTATTTTCACTAAATTATTCTCTCAGCGAAAATTTAGTATTTTACAGTATAACGAAAAAGTTCAGCACATAAGTACATGAAAATATCCCTCACCAATTTAAACAATTAGTAAATGGCATGTACGACATAGTGGCAATGGTGACCTATATACAGTATAAACTAATATGTGACTCAATCATAGCAAGCAACACGATGTTGTAAACAGCTGACGATCAAATGGAAACACCACCACTCTGACAACGCCATTAACCCCCACAGTCTTGGGGTTGAACATCCAGTACAGTAAATCTGACTGACGAACTGCCTTGGAAATTATGCTTGGAAATAACAAAAACAAAAATACCCAAAATAATAATACGATTTATCATTTGAAAGGTCGATGTATTGCATAAATCGTAGTAGCTGCAGTATTTGACGTTTTTTTTTTTATTATTTCTAAGCTACATTCCTATAAGACTTTTAAGAGCTCGTCAACTAACTGGCGCATACTAGTACAGTACTAATTAGCACGTAGTACATGGACTGTTTGTCGGGTGGGGGGGGGGGGAAGTGGAATGTTATATCAAAATACAACAGGCTATATCATTAGTTAGCCCTGATCAACGCAGCATTATGTATAGGTCCATGTAGCCCTGCGTACAGTGATGTGTGTACGGGGACAACACTGTACGCAGGGCTTAGGTCCATGTACGAATGATAAAAGTCAAATGATCGACGTACTCTGAATTCAAAACATTGGCAAGACAATTGACTGCGAAATGCACACGCATAATAGATAATAGAAATCTTAGAAGTATAAATAACCTACCTTCATTGCAAAACCGGCAGTAAAATTGCCAAGAAGAGTTTGTATTTTTCTATCATTTCCCGCGGGCGGCCATGTTGTACTCCCTAACTTTGTAGTCATTCTATGGTGACTACCTAGACAAACTGTTATTTGAGTGTTTAATACTATAAGTCATGCCGTGCCACGATTAAGGATGCTGTACACGTTTTTTTGCTTTGAAACCCAAAATTCTACTTTTTTGTATTTTCCAATGCTGGACTACAAGGAGCAAACACTCAGTAGGAAAAAAAAGTGAATTGGATGTTTTTATATGGTGTAAAAATCAATTTTTGTTAATTAAAAACAAAAGCACATGTCATTGTTTTGAAAGCTATGTTTTCGACAGATAATTTGCATAATAGTCACCACCCATAACAAATATAAACAGTCTCTTGCATTCAGTACAAGCTCAGACTAGTAATACAAGTATTAGTAGTCCGAGGTACAAGTTACATGCATTCCATTTACGATCGTCCACAAATTTAATTTCGTTGAATTTCTCGCTCTTCAAGCAGTCGATTATGAAACAGTCTTGTATTTGATCGTCAAATGAGTACTTGTCCATATTGCTCTGGAAAAGCATTAATTAAAACAAAATGACCACCGGCCATTTTGAATACATCTATACATCTATAACATGATGTATAACGAATATATAAAATTTGAACATAATCAGTCGAAGCATGTCAGAGATATGGCCCTAGAAGCACATTCATTAAAACTAAATGGCCGCCAGTCAGCCATTTGAATTACCGTTAAATAAAAATAAAATGACGTGCATCAGGAACCCATGGAACCCATAACGTCTAATGTATGTACCAAGTTTGAACAAGATCCAGTTCCAGAAATGCTTGATTTTTGACGATTTTTTAGCACAAAAATGGCTGCCATTTGGCCATTTTGAATCAAATAGTCAAACCAATATATCTATGGTGTGATGTACCAATATAAGGAATATATAAAATTTTAACATAATCAGTCAAAGCATGGCAAAGATATGGCACTGGAACTGCATTCATTAAAACAAAATGGCCGCCAGTCAGCCATTATAAATTTGATCTGAAATATAAAATGACGTGCATCAAGATCCCATGTCAAATGTATGTACCAAATTTGAATAAAATTCATCCATAAATGCTTGATTTTGATGATTTTTTAGCACAAAATTAGCCATCATTTGGCCACCTTGAGTCAGATTGATGTGCATATGTATAATATGATGCATGTGTGAAGTTTGAATGCGATTGGTTTAGGCATACCGGGGTACCTAAGATACATGTCCGGATGTATGCACACTCAGAGGACCTAACTAGTTCAATCATACTCAACAATTTGTGATCATCATTAGAGCACTCAACATGATTTGCTTCAGAACAATGACATGAAAGTATCTGGGAGGTGTCTTTGAGAAATACCAGGGTGGGGGGTGATGTCAATTCATTGGACAAATGATCGTCTTGGACAGGTAATGGTGCATAGAAACTGCATTTGTCCAATGGTTCCTTGGCCCAAATCTTATATTCGTCAGACTCTGTCAGCATGACAGACTTTGTGGTCACAGAAGTAATCAGTGGGCTGTGAAAAATCAAGGTGAGCAGGCTCCCAGCATTTCTCATAATTCTCTTTGCTGACAGAAGTGATCAGTGGGCATTACAATTTCTCTTTGCTGACTTTTTAGCAGCAGCTTCAGCAGAAGTGGTCTCTGGACAAACCTTGTTCGATCCAATTGATACACAAACAATGAAGAGAGAAAATTTCAAAGCAAAATATTTTGACATTCAGAACACTTTCATAAAGATGGTTTAGCCTTCTTGGAAGCAGACTTGTTGCTCTTACATGTAGACAGGCTGGAGGTTCTGTATTTAACGTGAACCATTAAAGAATTATTATAGAAATACCTCTAATTTGCATTAGCGCATACACAACTAATGGGGTAAATACAGTATCCTTTGTTTCTATTCCACGTTCTCTGATTTGGCAGTATCAGCAATCATGAAACCACATAGCTCAATAATTTGGTTTAGTTCATCAGCCAACGCACAAAGTAGCCACACTACAACAATTTCAGTTAATACAAACACAATCATAGAAAGAACAGTGAGACAATCAGGATTTATACACTGATTTTTAATCTTATTTTATGGGTTACATAAAACCATCTGAAAGCAATGAAGAGGGTGGTTTGACTCCGTGGGGACCATGGTCATAAAATGACCGGAAAGAATTAATGTTTGATGATATAAACCCTAATTTGTTAAATATGTAATTAGATAAATTTAATACTAAATGTAAGAGAGTATTGTGTCTTAATGAACTACAGAAATATATACATGTAACATCAAACCCAGAGTTAAGATTTACAATGTTTCTAAGTTTTATATACTCAAAAAAACTAAGAACACAAACAAAATCATTACCCCAAATTAGCTTCCCTCATTTCTGAGAAAATTTGGGGTATACCTGTCATATTTTGAAATAACTTTGTGGAATTTTGTGTATGTACGACACATTATCACCTCAGAAAGATTCAAAATTGTGGCCAGTTTAGCACACACTTTTTTGAGAAACAGGAAATACACTGACTACACAAGTTTATTTCCAATGTTCCAAAGTGTCAATGATATCATATGCATACAAAAAATTGGTGGTTTAAATTTCAAATTTGGTCCAAAATCGTGTGAGAATTTGGTATGAAAACACCCCTGAGTAAAGTTTAATGATAGATAATTACTACATGTTAAGCTCAAGACACTGAAAGCAATCCAACCACCAGCAAGCTGTGGAACTGAGCTAGCCTGCAATCTACATATACAAAACCTTTGAGGTTTTGTCTTTGAACAACTTAAAACAAAATCTGTAGACATGTCTGATAAATGGATAAGGAGAAATAAAAATGAAAATAATGCACGAAAAATTCAATCAAAATCATTGTCATCGAATCACGACACAAAATGACCCATATCACTAACCAATTTTGTGTGATGTTCAAAAAATGTGGAATAAAATATGTCAAGGTATGCCTAAGATGCAATTTAATTTTAGAAAATAGCCAGTCAACTAAATTTCATTGAAAACCATAAATAACTAAAGATAACATTCAGTCCATTATGTCTTATGCTAAATTTT